CCCCCCATGTCCTCCAGGAACGATTGGTCGCATTGTTTTCTCCTTGGGATTGTTTGTCTTGCCTATCTTATATAGTAGACAGACATAGGGTAAAAAAAGCCAGGTCTGTCTGTTGACCTTTTTAAATATTTTGCAGTCGAGTCTGATGAGGTGCCAAGCCCTGCCCCCAAAGTCTATTTGTGGGACTCTTTGGGGACTTCGTTGCTTCGCTCCCCTTGCTGTCTTGTTTCACTCCCTTTGTGTTTCGCCTCTGTGTGTGTGTGTGTGTGGGGAGGGCCGGGCTGGTGGTGGTGATGATTGTGTTAGACCGGGCACAATTCCTGCACTGTTTCTCCAGTGTTGTTCCCTGTAGTGTTATGGGTCAGTGAGGGTATGATGTGTCTCATGATGGGTCCGGCCCTATGGTTCTCCCTTGTATTGGCTGCTCTGAGCAGGAATATCATCCTCAGGGCTTGGTGGGCCAGGTTGTATTCCACTCTCTCTTTCGCTCTCCTTCCGTCTTAGTTTACTCCCATGTTTTTAGCAGACCCGCCCCTCTCCCCAAGCTGTGTCTTCAGTGCTGTCCTCTGTAGTGGGATTGGGGCTGGCCCTACACACCTCTCTGCTGGTTTGCTTCTTCGTGCCGGTATGTTGCCTTCAAGTCCTGGTGCACTAGGTTGAGGTGTGGTCCCTCTCTCCCCTTCCTGTTCAGCCAGAGGTTTAGTCTGTTACTTACTTGCCAATAAGAACTGGCGTTTTCTTGTGATTTTAATAGTTACTGCTTAACCTTCTTTAGGACTACACAAGAGGAAAGGAAACTCATTCAGTACCTTCCCTAGCAGTGAAGAGTTTTTAGTTTATGCCCCCAATTTACAAACTGTGTTTGAAATAGTACAGATAGCACATTCCGGCCTTTGGTAGGGTGGCTTGGTGTCTAGTGGTTAAGCATTTGGCTAAGTGAAAGGCTGGTGGTTTGAACCCATGAACCACTCTTTAGGAAAAAGATGTGGCAGTCTGCTTCCATGAGGATTCCAATGTTAGAAACCTGACGGGTCAGTTCTAGTCTGTCCCAAAAGGTTGTTAGGAGTTGAATCAGCTTGATGGCAGTGGATTTCGTTTTGGTCTGGAACCTCTGGTAAGTATCACAAAGATAAAAATGCTACAGAGAGCACATTTTGGCCTTTGGTAAGGAGGCTGAATTTGCAATTGTGGTGGGACAATTTTGAGATGTCAACTGGGTTTATATCTTTTCAGCTTGTATTTTCTTACATGTGTTTTTCTATGCCCAGCCCCTTCACAAGAATTAGTACCCATGTTCTCAGAAAGGAGACAATACAGCAGAAAAAGTAAAGATTTTGGAGTTTCAGAACTAAGTGAAGGAGATAGTCTTCTTGCCACTGATGCTAGTAAAGATTCTGTGGGTTGAGAAGAACAGAGTTACAGGGCAAGTGAGAAGTGTCTACCTCCACCATCCCATGAACAGAGAGAGCAAATGCAGGATTCCCTGCCCTCCCAGAGTGTCAGTAGACGTTAAAGAGGAGAGACGATGATGTAGGCTGCTGGGCTGCTTCATGGTGTTCTGGCTGTTTCCCCCGTGTGCTCAAGAGCAGCAAGTGAAGGACCGCAGACAGCCCCACTGAGTTCCTGCTTGCCCTTCCGTGATATGACCAACATGGGATGAGATCCTGGATGCCCGAGTGGGCACGGCAGTTGCAGCGGACCATAACGTGTAGCAATGAGGGAAAATCCAGCTGCACTAGACCAAGCTGGTCCCATGTTTCACACAGTGCCCTGTGATGACCCCACGCTAGGTTTTGCCTCCCTGATGAAAATATCCTGACACGCCACTAGCCGCCTTTTCCTTCCACCGAAATAACAGTCCTAGGGAAAGAGAGGACTACTTAGAGCTGCTCTTAAGTCAGTGTCTTCTGCTAGGAAAGCATGTATACTCTAGTTGAGGCACAAAACCACAATCTCATGGCTGTCAAAACTAAGGTGACCAGATTTTAACATTGGTAAAGTGGGACACCATTGACGGGGGTGGGGGTGGGGTGGGGTTCTTGATTAAAAATTTGGTCTATATGGAGTAACAAAAATTTTCATAGAACACAAAAATAGTATTGTAATATATATTTTTAAATTTCAACCTAAGTACAATTTACAAATATAATACATTAAAATTATGTATAGTATTATTTTATTCTTTGGCATAGTTCTCATTAGAGTGAATTTTTTTTAGTAGATTGCTGTCGTTTAAAAGGTCATGAGATTTTTCACAAGAATTTGTTAAATTATATTTCACATGTAAAATGGCTTTCAAAGTCTCAACACTTAATTGTGATTTTTCTGATGTCTACACTTTATTTACCGTAGGAAAAAACGCGTTTAGTCTCAGTATTAGTTCCTGGTAAGGACAGCGCGTATTCCACAATTTTTAGTGCATTATTGTATGGAACATGGTTTGTTTCAAAATGATGAAATATTTCTAACCATTTGTTCTCTATTGTGATTTTTGCTGTTGCCCAAGATTTAAACTTTTCCTTATTAAGAAGATCATTTTC